AGTATTTCATACAAAACTTTCTCTTGTCTACAAGATGGTTAGCAAGTATTAGAGGAATATCACAAGGATGTGGCAATCTGAAGACATCGTGAATGCCTTGAAAGCACTGTCAAGACAAATGTCACAAAGAGATGCAATGAAATGGTACAAGATACCTAAGACAAGTTCACAGCAGTGTTTCACTAGAGTCTAAATCATCCTGAAAAATTGAAAAATAATGCTCGTTCAAAATTAAAAAATGGCAATAGCGTTAGATGTTTTTGGACTCCAATCACAGTTATAGCAGAGTTTGCCGATAACCTTCCAGGCACTGAGTGTGCATGTGGACTCCTGAAGAGACACATGTAGTACCAGAACTTAAGTGTCCAAAACATAGCTATATAGGAACTATGACAACAACTGTCCCACCTAAAGTAGCGAAGTCTCAAATGCCTCACACCAACAGCAACTGAGTCCAGTTTTATAATTATTCTAGCAATAAAAACAATAGCCTAAGAAAGTAGAATTTGGTGAGTTTTGTACATACAGTTTTCTCTGTAATATTTTCCTGAAATAAACATTTCAAGAGAATAAATGAACTTTCTATTTATGTTAGATGTGAATAATTTAAAATTTTTGTTCTTGAATGCACCACTTGATGGTAAGTTGCTAGTTGTCCTGCCTCAAGAATAATCTTATTTAAGCACAATTACACATAAAACTTGTTTAACTCTTCTTGAGTGACTGCATAACATACTACCTCATATTAATAAATAGAGTAAATTATTGAATATTTGTGATCTACCACTCTTTACCTATCTAGATTTAAGTAGTCTTTAAGTATTAGGTTAAGTCTGCCCAAAATGCCTCGGCATGATAGTGGCTTATTTTGTACCAATCGTATTAAGAAATGTAAACACACATTGTAACCTTTGCAAATTATTATTATTATAATCATGAAGAAGCACTAAACCTGTAGAATTATACAGTGCCGGGGGGGATGGGATGGAAGGTACTCACGCTTAATTCAGGGAACTGGAGCACAGATCCAATTCCCTTGATCAAGAGCCTCTCACAAAACGTCAAGTAACTCTCTTGAGGGTAACCTATGCAAACAAAATAAAATTTTGCTTGTAGTTTGTTTTTTCAGTAGTGATACTGTTTACTTGTTACAGGTACTCACTATGTGTTACTTACGAGGTAATACAGTGCTAGTTGACCTCCATCAAGAGTAACATTGTTCAAGTGTTAATGTTAACTTATTACTGGTACTTAAGTGTTACTTACGAGGTAGTACAGTGCTAGTTGACCTTCATCAAGTGTAACATTGTTCAAGTGTTAACTTGTTACTGGTACTTAAGTGTTACTTACGAGGTAATACAGTGCTAGTTGACCTCCATCAAGAGTAACATTGTTCAAGTGTTAATGTTAACTTGTTACTGGTACTTAAGTGTTACTTACGAGGTAATACAGTGCTAATTGACCTCCATCAAGAGTAACATTGTTCAAGTGTTAACTTGTTACTGGTACTTAGTGTTACTTACGAGGTAGTACAGTGCTAGTTGACCTCCATCAAGAGTAACATTGTTCAAGTGTTAATGTTAACTTGTTACTGGTACTTAAGTGTTACTTACGAGGTAATACAGTGCTAGTTGACCTCCATCAAGAGTAACATTGTTCAAGTGTTAACTTGTTACTGGTACTTAAGTGTTACTTACGAGGTAGTACAGTGCTAGTTGACCTCCATCAAGAGTAACATTGTTCAAGTGTTAATGTTAACTTGTTACTGGTACTTAAGTGTTACTTACGAGGTAATACAGTGCTAGTTGACCTCCATCAAGAGTAACATTGTTCAAGTGTTAATGTTAACTTATTACTGGTACTTAAGTGTTACTTACGAGGTAGTACAGTGCTAGTTGACCTTCATCAAGTGTAACATTGTTAAAGTGTTAGTGTTTGTTTATTTATTTATTTTATTTATTTTATTATTTGAACATGATACAGAGAAGTACAAGGAATACAATTTTTGAAGTGCAGCATGCCAAAGCCCCTTGTATGCAGAGCATTATGGGCAGGCTTAAAATTAACTTAAGATTAACTAAGCAATGATATATTCAGTGGTACAAAAATTATTGTAAAACAGATAACAATTTAGTACAAATGAATATTACAAAGACAGGTCATATGGCCATTTACTGTGTTGCTGTGTAATCAGTAGAATGGAGTATTCTGTTAGGTAGTGAAGTTAAATAGTAACAAAGTTTGATTGGGTCACAGGTTGACATTTATGAAATACAATAATGAGATACATATATGAGATACAATTTATGAGATACAATTATTCAGTATTTATTTAGTTGTGGGTGAGTAAGTGATTTTTGAGAAGAGACTTGAATTTATAAACAGACAGTGTTTCTTTTATATTCACAGGTAATGAATTCCAGATTTTAGGGCCTTTTATGTGCATTGAGTTTTTGCATAGCGTGCGATGGACACGAGGAACATCAAAGAGTGATCTGTGCCTTGTGTTATGGTCATATGTTCTGTTGAGGTTGGTAAGGAGATGGTTGAGGGGAGGGTTTATGTCAGAGTTAAGTGTTCTATGTATGTAGTAGGTGCAGTAATAAGTATGGATGTTTTGTATGGTGAGTAGGTTTAGTGTTTTGAATATTGTGGAGTGTGCTGTCTGTAGTGGTAATTTATATCATTCTGACTGCAGCCTTTTGTTGGGTAATTAATGGTCTGAGATGGTTTATTGTTGTTGAGCCCCATGCACAAATTCCATAGGTGAGATAGGGGTAAATAAGTGAGTAATATAGGGCCAGGAGGGCTGACTGTGGAACATAGTACCGTATCTTCGATAGTATGCCTACGGTCTTGGAAATTTTTTGGGAAATTTGTTGTATATGTGCTTGAAATTTGAGTATTATCAAGGTGGATTCCTAAGAATTTTCCTTCCGTGTTAACTTGTTACTGGTACTTAAGTGTTACTTACGAGGTAGTACAGTGCTAATTGACCTCTATCAAGAGTAACATTGTTCAAGTGTTAATGTTAACTTGTTACTGGTACTTAAGTGTTACTTACAAGGTAGTACAGTGCTAGTTGACCTCCATCAAGAGTAATATTGTTCAAGTGTTAGTGTTAACTTGTTACTGGTACTTAAGTGTTACTTACGAGGTAATACAGTGCTAGTTGACCTCCATCAAGAGTAACATTTATTTATTTATTTATTTATTTATTTATTTACAATTTGAGCACACATACAGAGATACAAAAAATACAGATAAGAGCAGCATGCCAAAGCCACTTATACTATGCATAGCATTACGGGCTGGCTTAAAATTAACTTAAGATTAACTAAGCAATGATGAAATCAGTGATAAAACATTAATGTAAACAGATTACTATAAAGTACAAGTGAGTATTACAAAGACAGGTCATATGGTTGCATGCATTGTTGTACATTCAGTAGAATGGAGTATTCTGTTAGGTAGTGTATTTAAAAAATAAAAAAGTTAGATTGGGTTTTAGGTTTAAAATTTTATGTGATATAATTGTGGGGAAACATTTAAGATATACAATTATAAGGTTATTTATTCAGTATTTATTTAGTTGGGGGGTGAGTAAGTGATTTTTGAGAAGAGCTTGAATTTATAAAACGGTAGTGTTTCTTTTATATTTCCCGGAAAATAAATTTCCAGTTTTTGGGCCTTTTATGTGATTGGTTTTTGCATGCGTGAGATGGCAGAGGAACATCAAGAGTGATCTGTGCCTTGTGTTATGGTCTGTTTTTGTTGAGGTTGGCAAGGGTTGTTTGAGGGGAGGGTTTAAAACGAGTTAAGTGTTTATGTTGTAATAGGGGCAGTAAAAAGTATGGAGTTTTGTTATGGTGAGTAGGTTGGTGTTTTGAAATATTGGTGGAGTGTGTGCTGTAGTGAGAATTTATCTTTGTTATCTTTGTTTTTTGTTATCATTTGTTATCATTTTTTATATTTGTTATCTTTTTTAAAATTGTTAAGTGTTTGTTAATTGTTTTTGGTACTTAAGTGTTATTCGGTGTCAGTGCAGTTGACCCCCTAAGAGTAAATTGTTCAAAATGTTAACTTTTTATGGTACTTAAGTGTTTCTTACGAGGTGTACAGTGCTTGTTGACCTATCAAGAGTTTAACATTGTTCAAGTGTTAACTTGTTACTGGGTTTAGTGTTCTTCGAGGTAGTCAGTGCTGTTGACCCCCATCAAGAGTAATATTTTTCAAGTGTTAATTGTTTTGGTTTTTTAAGTGTTACTTACGAGGTAGTACGTGCTAGTTTACCCCCTCAAGAGTAACATTGTTCAAGTGTTAACTTGTTATGGTACTTTGTGTTACTTCGAAAAGGGGTACGTGCTAGTTGCCCCCAAGAGTAAAATTTGTTCGTGTTAACTTGTTCTTTGGGACTTTGTGTTATTAGAGGTAGACAGTGCTAGTTTCTCCATCAAGAGTAAAATTTTTCAAGTGTTAACTTGTTACTGGTATTAAGTGTTACTTCAGGTAGACAGTGCTAGTTGACCTCCCTCAAGAGTAACATTGTTCAAGTGTTTAAAGTTAATTGTTACTGGTATCGGGGGGGTGTAGACTCAGTAGAGTTTAATAAAGGTTATTAATAAAAACAGTGATTATTAAGATGTTATAATATAAAGAGGGAAGAACCCATGCTGCTGCAACAATACAAAATCTTGTTGTATTCTATTTTATCAACATGATGCAATATTTAAAAAAATATATACCTAATATCTCCATTAACTTTTACTATTCCCAAATTTCGTTGTTTTTGTTGTTGGTTAACAATAACCAAAAATTTATTATTAAATTTGTTTCTGGGAATTATTTGGTTAAATTCAATATATCGCTTTATAACGGGCTTTAATATATGCACAAGGATTTTCTAAATAAGAATTACCATATTTTTTTGTTAATAAGTATCAGTAGGTAATATATGATTAAATATTAGAGATTATTTTTAATATGAAATAAATAAAGAACCATTATTGAAGTGATGTGGCGGGTGTGTTGAAGACTAGCATTGTTACTGTTATTGTGTTGCTGCTGTGTTACTGTGTTGCTGCTGTGTTACTGTGTTGCTACTGTGTTGCTGTTGCTGCTATATTAGTGTGTTACTGTTGGTGTTGTGTGCTACACACCTTCACCATCATAATGTCACTTGCTCACCATCAAGTGGGTCTCCTGGACGAGGTGAGTCACTTCACTCACAGACAAATATGTTCCCTAATATCAATATTATTATACATTTCAGTTGAAATCTGAGCGTGTAAGTGATGTTTCAGCAGGAGAGTTGAGAGGCTGGGTTGGTAGCGCACTCCACTCTCACACTTGTGCCATCCCCGGGAAGTTGATTTAGTTACATGTACACACAAGTACTATTATCATGTGTACTTTAATATGCGAGTAAATTACCAAGAATAACCCAAAGAAAATCAAACGTAGGACATGTTTCCTTACACCTGTTTCCCTGTTAACCTAACAGTAAGTAGGTACTTGACTGGTGTGGGTCGCATCCTGGAGGTGGTAATATAAGAAAATAAGAAATAAGGTACACTGCAGCAGGCCTACTGGCCCATGCGGGGCAGGTCTAAATCTCCCACCGACTTTAAGCCAATTTATTTATTTATTTTTATTTATTTATGTCTTTGCAGCTGTATAGTCCTTGTGGCTTAGCGCTTCTTTTTGATTATAATAATATGTCTTTGCAAATAGTACATTGAGATTTTGTATTTACAATAATGGGTTGCAATACAAAGAGAGCCTCTATTATGCCTAGGCATTATGGGCCAACTTAACATTATTGACTTACAAACTACTTAACACTAAGGATTATATCATAGTTGTACAGTAGATTATTAATTATAAGTGAATCTAATTTATATAAGACAAAAGATGTATTCATATATTCAAAAATGTTTTTTTTGAAAACAATGATTCAGTTACATTCCTGTCAACAATGGTCAGGTCAAGTCAAGTCAGGTCTCCTTCACTTATGGATGGAGCATGGCATCTGACCTGTAGCACAAGCTAGTCGCACCCACTCGTGGATTTATCTAACCTATTTTTAAAAATACACATTTTACCTTCTATGACGGTACTCGGGAGTTTGTTCCACTCATCCACAACTCTATTACTGAACCAGTGCTTTTCTATATCTTTCCTGAATCTGAATTTTTCAAACTTAAAACCATTGCTATAAGTCCTGTCTTGGCTGGATATTTTCAGCACATTATTTACATCCCCTCTATTTATTCCTGTCTTTCATTTATACACCTCAGTCATATCCCCCCTAATTCTACACCTTTCGAGAGAGTGCAGATTCAGGGCCCTCAGTCTATCCTCATAGGGAAGATTTCTGATACATGGAATCAACTTCGTCATCCTCCTTTGTATGTTTTCCAGAACATTTATATCCATTCTGTTATACGGTGACCTAAACTGTGCAGCATAATCTAAATGAGGCCTAACCAAGGATATATAGTTGTTCTTCAACCTGAGGACTCCTATTATTTATGCTTCTTGATATGAAGACAAGGATTCTGTTAGCTTTATTGCGAACACTTGTGTAATATTGTCTTGATTTTAGATTACTGTTAACCAGAACTCCCAAATCCTTTTTGCAATCAATAATATTAAGATCTACATTATTTAGTTCATATGTGGCATGGTTATTTATCTGTCCAATGTTTAGAACTTTGCATTTGTCTATATTAAACTGCATCTGCCACTTCTCCGACCACTGCATCAGTCTATTCAAATCTTTCTGGAGTGCTCTAGTGTCCTTGTCAGAATGAGTTCATCGGCCTATTTTGGTGTCATCGGCAAACTTGCTTATGTTGCTATTTATTCCCTCATCTGTGTCGTTTATATAGGTTGTGAACAACAGGGGGCCCAACACTGACCCCTGTGGAACACAGCTCATGATGCTTCCCCACTCAGATTTCTCCCTATTTATGCAAACACTCTGCTGCCTATCTGCCAACCATGCCTCTATCCTGGAAAAAAATTCTCCTCCTATTCTGTATGCCTTAATTTTCCTCAATCTCTGATGTGGGACACTATCAAAGGCCTTACTGAAGTCCATATACACAATATCGTATTCATTACCATGATCTACCTCCTCAAATACCTTAGTGAAAAAAAGCTAATAAATTCATAAGGCAGGAACACCCTTTTGTAAAACCATGCTGAGATTCAATGATTAATTTATGCTTTTCGAGATGGCTACGAATTGCCTCGGCAGTTGTTGATTCCATCAATTTTCCCACTAGGGAGGTTAGGTTTATTGGTCTATAGTTCAAAGCTAAGGACCTGTCACCTGCTTTGAAAATAGGTACCACATTTGCCATTTTCTACTTGTTTGGCACTATGCCAGTTTGTAGTGATATGTTGAAAAGATTAGCCAAAGGTTTGCTAAGCTCCTCTTTACATTCTTTAGAACTCTTGCATACAGCTCGTCTGGGCCCGGGCATTTGCTAGGTTTTAATTTATCTATTTGTCTAAGGACCATGTCACTTGTGACCATAAAGGCACAATCCTGTGACTGGAACCACACACAAATAACACACACAGAGAGAGAAAAGCTTACAACGACATTTCAGTCTGACTTGGACCATTTAGAAAGTCATTTTTCGACTTTGTAAATGGTTCAAGTCAGACAAACTAGTCGGTAAGCTTTTCTCTGTGAGGTTACTTCAGTTCAAATTCAAATGTTTATTTCCTTGTAAAAGCTTACAATGTGTGGTTTACATGTTATAAAATATTAATTACAAAGAAGGCCTCTTGCATGCCTAGGCATTTCGAGCAGACTAATAATAAAACTTACCCTATATTGATATAGGTTATGGAGCAGTATATTTTAATATACATAAGAACATAAGAAAGGAGGCACACTGCAGGAGGCCTGTTGGCCCATACTAGGCAGGTCCTTTACAATTCATCCCACTAACAAAATATTTGCCCAACCCAATTTTCAATGCCACCCAAGAAATAAGCTCTGATGTGAAAGTCCCACTCAAATCCAACCCCTCCCACTCATGTACTTATCCAACCTAAATTTGAAACTACCCAAAGTCCCAGCCTCAGTAACCCAACTAGGTAGACTGTTCCACTCATCAACTACCCTATTTCCAAACCAATACTTTCCTATGTCCTTTCTAAATCTAAACTTATCTAATTTAAATCCATTACTGCGGGTTCTCTCTTGGAGAGACATCCTCAAGACCTTATTAATATCCCCTTTATTAATACCTATCTTCCACTTATACACTTCGATCAGGTCTCCCCTCATTCTTCGTCTAACAAGTGAATGTAACTTAAGAGTCTTCAATCTTTCTTCATAAGGAAGATTTCTAATGCTATGTATTAATTTAGTCATCCTACACTGAATGTTTTCTAACAAATTTATGTCCATTCTGTAATATGGAGACTAGAACTGAGCTGCATAATCTAGGTGAGGCCTTACTAATGATGTATAAAGCTGCAGTATGACCTCTGGACTTCTGTTGCTTACACTTCTTGATATAAATCCCAGTAATCTATTTGCCTTATTATGTACGCTTAGGCATTGCTGTCTTGGTTTAAGGTTGCTGCTCACCATAACCCCCAAGTCCTTTTCGCAATCTGTATGACTAAGTTCTACATCATTTAACTTATAAGTACTAGGGTTATGGGCACTCCCGAGCTTCAGAACCTTGCATTTATCTACATTGAACTGCATCTGCCACTTTCTGACCAAGAATACTTTGTTTAACCCTTTGACTGTTTTCGACGTATAAATACGTCTTACGAGCCAATGTTTCTGACGTATATATACTCAATAATTCTAGCGGCTTCAAATCAAGTGGGAGAAAGCTGGTAGGCCCACATGTGAGAGAATGGGTCTGTGTGGTCAGTGTGCACCACATAAAAAAAATCCTGCAGCACACATTGCGTAATGAGAAAAAAAAACTCTGATCGTTTTTTTGGAATAAAACGCCGACTTTGAGGTGTATTTTCGTATAGTATTTATCGTTGTATTCGCGTTTTCATGGTCTTAGGTGATAAAATGGAAAACATATTACAGAAATAGAGATGATTTTCATTACTTTTACGATGAAAACGACCTTGAAACTGAGCTCAAAGTAGCGGAAATGTTCGATTTTTACCAATGTTCAAGAGTACATAAATCACACCACACGTCCAATACACGTCAACTGGGGAGTCTAATATTCTTTCACTAGTGCACTGATATTATTTATACCATTTTTACAATAATGCAGTCGTCTGCATAACAGTAAATTTTGTATTTTTTTGTATGAATAAAAAATCAAAATAGAAAGCAATAATAATATAAGAGGGGCCTAGAGATGTGACTAATGAACAGAGCATATGTTATTTTAGTGCCACGAATGTCTACCTTGTTTATTCTGGACCCTATTTTGAAATTGGCATCTTTTTTATTTTGCGTGAAATTGGCCAAATTGCCAAATTCTGACCACCATATTGGGTAGTCCAAATTAGTAAATGGGAGGTTTCTTGTACTCAGCTGATAGACAAAATGGAGTTCTAAAGAAATAGCTTTGAGTTTGGTCAACTGGAACAATGGAATTGGCTGAAAATTGGGCTCAAAGTCGGCGAAATCGCCGATACGCATATGTTGCCGAGACCGCTAACTTCGCGGGAGCATAATTCCACGAGTTTTCGACCAAATTTCGAACTTTTGGTGTCATTACCATCGGGAAAAGATTCTCTATCATTTCATAAGAAAAAATAATTTTTTTTTTTTCAAAAATTGAGCGACATAGAATGACAGTTTCAGAGAGGGGCCTGAAACAGTCAAAGGGTTAAATCCTCCTGAAGTTCCATAACATCTACGTTTGAATCAATTATCCTACCTATCTTTGTGTCATCGGCGAATTTGCTCATATCACTAGTAATTCCCTCATCAAGATCATTGATATATATTATAAACAACAACGGGCCCAAGACTGATCCCTGTGGAATGCCACTTGTTACAGATCCCCACTCGGATTTAACCCCATTTATGGACACACTCTGCTTCCTGTCAGTGAGCCATGACTCGATCCACGAGAACACTTTTCCCCCAATGCCATGAGCTGCCACTTTCTTTAACAGTCTATGGTGCGGAACTCTATCAAAAGCCTTACTAAAATCTAAGTAAATAATATCAAATTCTTTATCGTGGTCAG